AAAGGTTCGAAGTACCGCTAAGGCGCGCACTGGAGAACAAAAACGGTGACGTTTAGTATGTTGTTGGAATTGATATGAATATACATTTCTGTTTCAAAGAATGGTCTCATCTCAGCTGCTCCTCATCTGTCCATGGGACTTTGTTCACTATTCTTCGGCTGGCTTGGCGACGTTGTTGGGACGCGGGAGATGCTGTCCCTTTCATTGAATAGAAAACTGTTCAACACTATTGGTAAGTTTGCATACTATAGAGTGAGCTACCTTGAGCTCCCTGGACGCATTTGGCGGATTTGTAGGCATTGTCTTTAAAACGCAAATCATTTCCTTTTAAGTACAATGCACTTGCTTTGTAGCTGGCAATAAACAATTTGCTTCCAGCTGACAGAGCATTTGCGAATGTAGCGTACACGTTCACGTACACGATCCCGAGAGGGCCACTTCTGGTCCGAAGACGACGCGTCGTAACAACAATACCCATCTCTACGGAGAGCTGTGATGTTAGGGTGGCCCATGGGACGAAAAACACCAGACCGGCGAAAAGGCGTTTCGGCTGGAGGTGACCCATCCTCTGACGATTCCGAAACCTCCTCGGTCGGCTCTATCGGACCCCGGGAACTAGTTGCTCAAGATCTTTGCATTTTCACACTGGTTTCTTCTGGGCTTTTGGGTGCAAAATTGTAAAATGACCCTGTGGCGCTGTGCTACAGTAGCGAACCTTACATCGCTGGATTGAGTTTCTAACGTAGATTACGAACTTAATAATAATAATGTATTATGGTGGCTTTTCTGATGCTTCAGTGTCGTTCTTCGATTTTACACCCAAAATCCCATAAGAAATAGGGTGTAGCGTACTCGGTCGACTTTTGAATTTTAAAAACGGGCCCCCCTCACTTCAAGCCATTTTCGATGTAGTTTCCGGAACCGACCTTGTTTTTTCGCTGAGACAAAGACTTCAGGTTCCTACCTCGCCTCAAAGTTGAGAAATTTCACTATTTTGCACTAAAATCGAATAATTCTGGTAAAAAATATTTCAAAGCAGTACAGAGACGCTTCATGAGTAGCATATGTTTATTATACATCTAAAAAAAGTTTGCCACCTGTGACCGGCCATGAGAGAACCGTTTTAGGCCGTTTTTGCGGCGACATTTGTATAAAATTACTCAAAAAACGCTCGAAATCGTTATTTTATCCGGCTCTGGGGCCAGGATACGGGTCCTGGGCAGTCTGGGGGTGGCCTTACGGATTGTATGTAACTACCAGAAGGTAAAACAGGGGTGGGCGAATTTTCTGACAGCCGTAGGCTGACTAGAATTAAACTAGCAACTAGCAATTAGAGTGGCACGCATTTTGTTCTTTCGTTTCGTTTCTATGTTTGTCAGGTGAATGGGGTCCTGGTCTACTATGCGTATTAATTGGTGCATTCGGTGCCAATTACCCGATCCTAGCCGTCAGCCTTCTTGTGGTTGCCTGTGGTCTCATAAGCGCCACCTTCTCCGGCGAGTTCGTGAATTTCGTTGACATTGCACCTAATTTTAGCGGAATAACCTTTGGCATCGCAAACACTGTCGGTGCCTTTGTAAGCGCATTCGCTCCTTACCTGGAAGGCGTACTTGTGGATCCTGCCGTAAGTGTAACATTGTTTAGAGAGTACTGTTTTACATCCATTAAATCATGACATAACGCCATGGAATGTTATACTATAGGTTGTGGCCAGGCCAAATACCTTCTGATTTGTTACCGGATCGTGACAGCACCAGTCTTGCCAAAAGTGACCATGCTCTTTTAGCATAGGAATCGCAAAACGCAGTTTTTGGTAAAAA